GAACTGTCACAGAGGTTTCCATTAATCACAATTATTTGGGGCTTGTTAGCAGTAATTCTAACCATTCTCCCAATTTTGCTGAGCCGAGAAACATGATGGAGCGCTCAGACGATGCTGCAACCAGGCTGTTGCTGCTCTAATCAGGTTACTCAAGCTCACTATTCCGTTTGCTTCTCAGATGGCTGCATCTTGTTCCAGAAAGGCTGTTGTGGTAACAATTGTTCATCTGTCCCCTGGCTTAGAACACTGTTTGCTAAACAGGTTATATAACTATACCAAGAGAGAAGGGCTTCATTTGGTTGAGCCTGGCCTAGCAAGCCTCTCTTTGTTCCAAAATTTTTCAGAGCGAGGTCAAGAGATGAAAACTGGAGGAACACTGAGACATGAATCCGTTGCTAGTGCAGGTATTATAGAGGAATGAAAGATAAGAGAATGATCTCACTCTTCAGCAAATGGTACAACCCCCCACTTCTCAGTGAAACATGGTCAACTATGTTGGGGTGTCCAACCTCTTTCAGCCCAAGAGTCAAACTCCATTGCCAAGAAGGTCTCAAGGCTTCTATAGAGTGGTGGCCCATGGCAAAGACTTAATAGGCAAACAATCAAACAATGCCACATATCCACATACACCCGTATTTCAATTTACAGCTGTTACTGCTGGTAACCACACCTCAGGAGTGACATTTCAACCTTTGGAAATGGGGTGAGGGTGAGGCTGCCTGGGAAAGGGTTGGTACCATGTGAAGGACACTGGATTTGGCCCACTCGCCAGAGGGCCAACTCCTCTGATATGCTCCATGATGTTTAAATTGTTAATGACATTGAGGCAGTATCTCATTTCACTGACCGATTGATTTATATCCTGGCTTTTTTCTCTACCATCCAAGATGGCAAGAATGTTGAACTGGGGACCTAGGAGATCTGGTTTCTAGTCTCCATTCAGCCATGAAGCTCACTGGGTGATTATGGGCCAGGCACGCACTTTCAGTGAAACCTACCTCACAGGGTTGTTCTTGCGAGGGTGAAGTAGAGTCTGTAAGCCACCTCAAGAGGGAAACGGCAGTGTAATGCAGTTGCATAAATGAAACGTAATAATAATGACATGATCCTCCTCCACTCTATTTTATCCTCACAACAGTCCTATAAGGTAGGCCACCCTGAAAGCCAATGACCAACCCAAGGTCACCCAGAAAGCTTCATGGCCAAGTGGGGACTAGAATCTGGAATTTCCAAGTCCCAGTCCAACACTGTCACCACTGCCCCACAACTGGCAGAAGAACCAAGATGTT